AGTCGTATCCAAACCGAATGCACCCCTACACATAATAGACCGGTGCTCTAATAAGCTTCTCTTTTATGTCGGGTTTAGTTTAAAATTTCTTCAAATATATCAAACATTCATTCATATCCCTTGAAACCGAGAGTTTCTCCATCTTCTCCATTCTTTTAGAATTCTATATATATTTATCAAAAAAAAAATTGGTCATTAACATATGAAGACTATTTATTCTTTTCAAGAGATTAATATTTATGTTTTTTACTTGCATATAAATATTAAACTCTCATAATTTTCTCAGCTTATAAAATTTTTTCTCGGGGAAAGTATTGAAACTTAAACCAACTTTTTTATTTATATATTTTATCTGTCGCATACCTTTTTTTTTATTTGAGAAAGAAGATGGTCTCTAAACAAGAAAACTCGGCCGCTATCATTTCAATAAATTTCTCACTAGCACTCCATCGCACACGATGCACGCTTGAACAGTACATACTTGTCCACTTTTATTAAAAAAAATACGAAAATACTTTTTGGCTCACGCCCTCCCCAGGGGCCCCACCCCCCTGTTCCGCTCTCTGCGAGTTGGGCGCGAGCTAGGGAGGGCGCGAGCTAAAAAGCAGGATCGAAAAAAATAATACTATAAACACCTAAGCTAATATAAATAGACGTAAAACATATCATTGAACAAAACAATATAAGTCTAAGGTATAAGTTCGGTAATGAATAGCAACAATGTGACATGAAATCTCTAGAAATGGAAAGTATTGTCACAACATATCTACTCTATTTTTAGCCTCTTTTAATCACTAAATTACGAATTTCTATGCGAACTTCAATGAACACGATCATGAGACTAATGTTAGTATTTTCTACCATTAGACTTTGTTATAGCACCAACTTAGCATACTAATTTCTGTGTTTGAGAAATAATATAGATTTGAAATGGTGGAGGTAGTTATCAAATAATGGATGATTTGTTTGTTATGAAATAGTGGCGATGGTTCTTAGATCAGTATTTGTTCTTTTCCAAAATTTGTATCTTTATTAAGTTGTAAGCTATTTGAAGTTATAGGTGAATCTTCTGGAATATGTTTGAAATTTCTTAGAAAGGTGACTAACATAAGGGTAGAACACCTAAATTTTTTTTATAATAATAATATTAGATAATAGATATTAATAGGGGAGAGTAAACGATCGGTTCGGTAGGCTTCACGGTTCGGTAGGCTTCAGTATTTTTGACCATGCCGAAGCCAAACCGCACTAGAGCTGGAACCAAATCGAACCGAACAAGCTTTTTCCGGTTCGGTTCGGTCAGTTTTTTCTGGGGGGTTTCACCAAGCAGCTAAAAAAAGGATGATCCGATGGCTCCAACAATGAAAGTTCTGGCCATGGAGAAATACAAAAGAGAGTCACAAATATTATCGACTGGATATTGAAGATGAATAAAAAAATAAATATTTGATTGATATTTTAATGGTCACAATTAGGGGTGGAAATGAACCAAATAATTAATAAATGGTTCGATAATTGTTCGAATAACTATTCGGTCATATTCGATTCGATAGTTCATTTATCACTAAACAAATATTTTTTAGTATTCGAGTTTATTAACGAATAGAATTTAACCAGATATATATTCGATTCGTTTGTCTATTAAATATTCGTTTAAAATTTGATCACAGCTTATTATTTGTATTATTGCACATATGATGTCATATTTTTAACCCACTTACCATTTCTACTTAAATTTTATATATAAATTTTAAGACTTAAATAATCTTAAATCTGTTTTCTAATTAAAATTTTGATTTAAATATATATACATCATATATTATAAAGAAATAATTTTTATTTATAAATTTTAATACTATTTGAAAATTAAACTCTTTAGCGAAATAAATATACTTTGATATTCGATAAGTATTCGTGAATATTCATGAATATTTATCAAATACCAAGTATTCGAGTTCAAATTCGAAAAACTAATCTGAAATAGGTGTTTGGGCCTTTCACTCTTAGGCAGACGCTGGCATTAAATTGGGAGTCACACTAATCACATGGGTGCCGCGCGTGGGCCCTACACAAAGAGAGGTAATTGACTGGGTAACGCTGGAATTGGTGTCCGTTCGGTTCGGTAAAGACGGGTCCGACAGAACCCGACCCAATCCGAACTGAAACGAATATCAAACCGAACCGAATTGCCGCAAATCGAACGGTTCGATCGGTTTGTCCGGTTTAATCCTGACTTTGCTCACCCCAAGATATTATAAACCAGAAAGGAAAAAAAAAAAAAAAAAAAACGGTTTAATCCTGACTTTGCTCACCCCAAGATATTATAAACCAGAAAGGAAAAAAAAAAAAAAAGAAGAAGGCGCACTGTCAGGAGAATTTTTGTTGTCCTTCTTTATTTATTTTCGATTGGGAACGAACGTCATTTTCTATGTATCAATATTTAAATACTGGCAATATTTTCTATACCACATAGGCAAATTTTGTAGTATTTAGTCTGAACGTTATGTAAGATGTGTTTATTCGAACTTATGACAGTTTAATAAGGCTTAATTACACTTAAATACACCTTTCCCTTCTTTGCACTTATATATCCTCACTTATTTATAGCAACACTTATGTACCCCGAAATTCTTGAAACATATAATTATGTATCTCACTTGTTTTTTTAGCTCTTTATCTATATATTAAGGTACTGTTTGGCAACCAAAAAAAGTGTCTTATCTAAGAGCTTGTGTCTTATTAACTTGGTCAATAAGCTAGTAGAGCTGTTTGGTGACAAAAAATAGGAGGAGATTATTTTAGAGATTGTGTCTTTTGCAAGTAACTTTTGGAAAGCTATCTCAAGTAGCATTTGTCGTTGGAAAGGAGCTGTCAATTTTTTTCTTCTGTTTTTGCCCCTGATAATTTTAATTTTATATTAATAATATTGCATGATCTTTTTAGTCGTTTAACAAATTTAAGCTAGTTGTACAGCTTCTTTTGCCAAACAGCTCTAGTCAATCAGCTAGCTACACAGCTGTCAGCTTTCGGCTACAATTTCACAGTTTTCAGCTAGCTTGACAGCTTTCAGCTATAAGCTCGCAGCTTTCAGCTAGTTTTGCCAAACAGAGCCTAAAACTGTTGAAGTCAGCACTGTAGCTTAGCGCTTTTCATGTTATAGTACGCCCCAATAGCTTGTGGTTAAAAGAGACTATGAGTAACTAATATTTTAACTCAATTTGCTTTTAAGTCTATGGCTTTAAAAATTCTTCTGAAGTACATAATGCTCCACGGTTTTAAAACTTTGCACTGCTCCAGCATGTCAGTTCACTGTGATTATAAGTGATAATAAATAAATAAGTTTTTTTTATCTATAAACCTGATAAGCTAACTCAATTTTCTTTTAAGCCAACCCACTTTAGAAATTAATCATAAACCCGAAATACTCCATCATACCCTGCAAAAATATATAATAATGTAACAAAGGGTCATATAAAGAGTTTTTTTAGCAATTAACCCCAAATCCCTACTTTATTTGTAAACTCGCCCACTATCAAAACATCATAGATCCGAAATACATGTCTATGTTACTTTTGCCTTTCTTCAATATCGCAACATTGCAAATTGTAGATGAGTTTTTTTGGCCTATGTTATTTATTCTGAACGGTTATACTATGCAATTATAAACCAAGTTTTTTTTTTTGACATTTTCATACTAATGTCAGGGTATCGCATGGGTTAATTTTACCCGTATATACTCTAAATATTTAGAAACATGCACTTAAGTGCTCTAAATTTAACACTTGCAGGTAAATAACCTCAATTATGAAAACTTAAAGGACATTTAAATGTAAGTTTTGAATTTTTAGAGTGTTAAAGTGCACATGTTTAAAACTTTAAAGTATATAAATGCATGTTTTTAAAAACTTTAGGTTATGTAAGTGTTGTCAAAATAAATGAGGGTAAATAATGCAAGTTTTAAAAACTTAGGGTATATACATATGCTGCCAAAAACAAGTGAGGATATATAAGTGCAGAGTTGGGAAAACTTTTTTATTAGAAGTTGCCCAAAACAAGACTTCATGAACAGCAAATGCCTCGAGATGCGTCCTTTGAAGGGCGCATGATTGTCAAGATTGTAGCTCCGACTTAGTCCAATTTCATTCGAGGACGCCATACTACAAGTAACATTGTGATCACATAGGAAGCTATTCATTCTCTTGCTCAAAAAATAAGTCGAAAAGGGGACATGATTACCGAGATTCATCTAAAAAAAAGGCGTATGATCGCATTCACTAGCCATTTCTTGAAGCGGTTTACTTCATGCGATCGGATTTGGGAATAATTTGGTAAATTTAATGATGAATTGCATTCATGATTCGCAACATGAGCTTTGAGCGATTTGGAAAGGACTGATTTTGGCTCGAGACAAGGGCCACCAAAGGTTTTATTGGAAACAGATCGCCAAAATGGTGGTACGCTTGATGGCTTCTTTTGAGTTTGTGGACCAAAATTTTAACATTCTTCAGAAAATTCAAAACTTGTTGGAGCGGCAGTGGCAATACAAGATATACCATATTTGAAGAAAGGGTAATCGATGTGCAGTGCATACATGAGGCGCAATGTTGACTCATCGGAGTTCCATGTTTTCTCCTCCCCACCTTTTGAATTGTGGGGAATGCTTAAAGACGGCGTAATTTCTCTTCCTAGATCAGTTCCTCTAAATTAGTTCTTTTTCTGTTTATTACAAAAAAAAAAAAAAAAACAAGAAGAAAAAGATAAAGCCCAAAAGATCTTAGGAGTGGATAATGACCTTATATAATCAATGTTACTTCTTTCCAACAAAAAACGTCGTCATGACGAGAAAGTAATGACCCGACAACTTCAATACGCGTCTCAAAATGAATCGTTGATAACTAACGTTCGATGTTAAATAGCCAAGAGCAAATCCAGAGAACACTATTACATTTATATCTAAAAAATATATAAAGAATTAAAGGCAATTATTGATTAAAAAAAAAAAATCTCAGCCCTGGCTGCTCAAGCGCCTGTGCCTTCTCAGAACTCTTGTGGACTCTTCTCTTTATCTCTAGAGAATTCTCCACTTTGGATCTCAATTCTCTGCTGGGTTCTTGGCTCGGATCTCTCATCTATTATGTGAGTTGTCATTTTCTAATTATTTTTGGGTGTATTTTTGTCGAGATCTGTAAATAAATTGATTATCTGAAATGGGTTTCGATTTTTTTGAGGGAATTGTTGTGTTTGGATCAGTAACTGTGTATCTTATATCAATTTCATGAAATGGGTTTTTGATATGGGTGTCTTTCTTGCGTGTTTTAGTTTAGTAATTTAGTGTATTTAGTAGGCTTCTTGATAATTGGATTTATTTATCTGAAATGGGTATTACTTGGGTGAATTGACTGTGATGAATCCCGTGTACATAGGGTTTTAGATTGTTAGTTAGCATTTAAACGGGCTCCTTGAACTCGATGAAATTTGTGATTCAGGGGTACGGAGTTCGCCGCAGAAGAAATTATGTGAGTTCAAATTGCGAGTCAAAGTATCCATTTTCGGGTGAGTTTGGATCGATTGGCTTAGATACTTCGATGTGGACTTTGGTCGAGATAGATACTTTGAATTCAAGATTATGAGTTTTAAGTTGTCTTAGGGTTTAGATGTCATTGCATTTGTGCTATTATTAGTCGCCTTAAGAGTGATATAATTTGGTGTAATACTGTAATTTTAAGCAGTATTTATATCCCATTGAGTTTCATGATTTGAGTTTGCGCTGTTGTCGAGGGGAATAGCTCGACTTCGGATATATTACTTCGGATTCCGTTGAGGTAGATGTTGTGGCTGTTTTTTCAACTAGACAAATTAACCTGTTCCAAACTATACTTGATGATTGACAAGTCCATATATTTTGGTGGTTGCATTTGGCATTGAAGTGACAAAGATAGTAAAGAAACAGTGGACTCAAGGGAACAAATTAAGCCAGTAATGATACCCTAATTTTTAGTTCAATTATTTACTTTTCATTATCAGAGTTATCTTTCATTCAGTAACAGAATCCTCTGAATGTTAAAGTGATACATTGTATTTATGACACTATGTAGTGTGATGTCAAAAGATGCAATTTTGTTTACAAAATAACCTTTTGTTATGACCATCTCTTCTCCTTCCAATATCTATTACGACATATCTTTGATCAATTATTGGCACATTGATCTGTAGTTTACCTATCTATTATGTGCCGCAGCAGTAATTTCATATTGTGGATGTTGAATCTGTTTCTGTTAGCTGTTTGATTAGGTTTCAGTTTAGGATTGTTCCTACTTTCACGCTAATAGACTGGTTCTATTCTATGACAGACTTTTCAGCCACCTAATCGACCTAGGAAATGAATCAGTATAGATTTCATCTTAAAGTCCCTTTTACTACACTAGAACTCCAGAGTTATTGTGATTTTCAAGAGTAACAATTTATACTCATAACATGTCCCCACATTTTGAGCGAATATGTGCTATTGACCAGTGTTACTTTTCTTTTTTAAAAATTCGCTCCAGATGCGTGCCTGGTAAGATTTGAACCTCAGGATTTTCATAACATCTTAGAGTCTCCTTCATTACATCAAAACTCTGAACATTACTCGAAATTGTTACCTGGAACAAAAAATTTGTTTAATTTAGAACTTTTTTTAGGGGGGGGGGGAGATCATCAAAGTTGTCTTTTTTTACTTTCATAAAGTCAATAGCATTGATGACCTTACTGAGCTTCAGCAGTGTTTGTCATAATATGTACAAACTTTAATCTGTTGTGGCTGCCGTACAGAGAAAAAAGATTCCCCAGTTGATATCTGCTTATATTATTATGTAGCATGTTGGATTAGTAATGTGTGGATGTGTCTAGACACCTAGAATGATATTTATTGAAGTTACAAAGAAAATCAAATGTCTCTGTGTTGTCTATTGCATGTATTTGCTTGTTCTTACATTATTAATAATATCAATAGTTTGATTCTTTTGTGTATTTTTGCAGAAATGATGTTCCCACACAAACAAATATACGCGAACAGTTGCGTTCTTATCGTATCTGCCAGAATCTTTGGTTGATGCACGTATAGCAAAGGCACAACTAAACTTTTGCGTACATGTCTCAAAATGACTTTTCTGATATATTCCCTATCTTCTTAAGGTTTATAATTCTGTTAGTCAACTTATTTAGTGCATTTAAATTAAAAAGAATCAGATCAGGTTGATAAATATGTGAATGTTTCATCTAGAGATGCACATTCAATTTGATGTGTAACCTCTACGATCAAACACCCCAAATCCCCAGCACCACCAAATAAAGAGTAAAAAAAAGAGCAAGGAGGGAGGGAGGACAAAAACAACAGTGATTTTTTATGTTTTAAAGTTAAACCATGTTCATACATGAGGTATTTATGTGACTATTATGAGATATACATGTACATGTGTACGACTACGTGTAGGAAGGAGGGAGATAGGTTGGACTGTGTCACTCTCCTTGGCCACACATAATACCTCATAGGCAATGCAGAATCCACATGTTTGCACAACAGAAGTATACATCACTTTGTTGACCTTTGCTCACTTCAGCATGCAAAGAGAATTCCAACTCATTGCTTAAATCTTGGATAAATGTGTTAACTTGGAGGGTAATTCTTGATGATGGCATTCGTGGGTGCCATGAATGAAGACTGAACCAAAGAAATTTGTATGCCTGATTCGAAATAATGCTTATGATTGTTAATATTCCTCAATTCCTTACTATGTTCATAAAAGTTGGAGCCACATTCGTAGGGACACTTTTTCCCCCTTTCTTTTGAGGGCGTATTAGTAGTAATGTAGTATTATCCTATCTATAAAGATTGAAGTGTTTCTTGTGAGCTTCATTAACTTATAGTTAATACTCAAGTTTTTCGTGCTAAGTTTTTAATGCATCTGGACTTTCGCAATTTTCTTTCTTTCTTTTTCCTTCAAGACCCACTTTGTGAAATATCTACTTTTAGATTTCATACTTATGCTACTTCACCAAGATGCCCTAAAGAAAATGAAAAGTGGAAGCGCCGTAGGACCGGACGATATACCTATTAAAGTTTGGAGATGTCTTGGAGATATAGGTTTTGGATGATTAACTAAATTATTTAATAAGATTATCGAGACGAGGAGAATGCCTGATGAGTGGAGGATTCGCACTTTGATATCGATATATAAGAATAAAGAAGACATACAAAATTGTTGAAATTATCGTGGCATAAAACTCATGAGTCATATTATGAAACTTTGGGATAGGGTAATTGAGCAAAGACTAAGAAATGAGATAAGTATATCTAAAAATCAATTTGGTTTTGTGCCCAGGAGGTCAACTATGGAATCTATACATAATTTGAGATTGATGGAGAGATATAGAGAAGAGAAATTATCTATATATGATTTTCATTGATTTAGAAAAAGCTTATAATAGTGCATATAGAGGTAATGTGGTTGGTTTTAGAAAAGAAATATGTATCTAGTTTATATATTGATGTGATTAAAGATATGTATATAATAGAGTAACAACTAGAGTACGAACTAATGAAGGAGAGATTAAGTCGTTTCTTATTACCATAGGTTTACACCAGAGGTCAGCTTTAAGCCCTTATCTTTTTGCATTAGTTATGGATCAACTTACTAGGCACATGCAGGATGAATTCCTATGGTGTATGTTATTTATAGATGATATAGTATTAATTGACGAAGCTAGAAGATATATAGTTTTTAAGGTAGAAAGATGGAGATAAGCTTTTGAATCTAAAGATTTTAGAATTAGTGGAACAAAACAAAATATATGAAGTGTAGTTTTAGTAAAGTTAAGAAAAGAAAGGAGTCTGTAGTGCATATTGATGGTCAAGAAATACCTAAAACTAATCATTTTCGTTATTTAGAATCAATTATTAGGCATGATGATGAGATAGAGGATGTTATTGTACATCGAATCAAATCGGGATGGTTGAAATGGAGGAGCGCCTTGGGAGTCTTATGTGATCGTTAAATACTAACGAAACTAAAGGAAAACTTCTATAGAACGGTTATAAGACCAACTATGCTTTATGGGTCTGAGTGTTGAGCAATTAAAAAATAACATGTGCAAAAATGAGTGTAGCAGAAATGAGAATGTTGCGATGGTCTTGTGGTTACACATTAAAAGATAGGATAAGAAATAAGTACATTCGTAGTAAATTAGAGGTTGTTCTTGTTGGTGACAAATGAGAGAGAATAAATTAAGATAGTTTGGTCATGTACAACGGAGATTTCCTAGTGCACCGATTAGGAAAAGTGATAATATTATAGTTAATGGGGCTAAGAGATCTAGAGGTAGATCCAAAAGGACTTGGTTGGAAGCAGTTAGGAAGGATATGATTATGACTAATTTAATAGAGAAGATAACCCATAACAGAATGGAATGGAAGAATAAGATTCATGTAGCCAACCTTAAACATTTGGGATAAAAGGCTTTGTTGTTGTTGTTGTTGTGCTTATGCTTCTTCATGTTGGTGGCATAGACATGGTTCCTTCTAGTTTGGTATTCCTTATTCTACTCTGCAAATTTCATCTTTTGTTAACAATCCATACTTTTGATAATGGAGAAAAGATATGGCTTTTCTTATCTCACATATCAACAAGTGCAGATTCCACTTTTAACACTTGATTTTCTCAGTGATAAACAATCAGGAAAAAAAATCAATTCAGTACAATCTAAATTAGGTTAGAGGATATTGCAAAATTTTCTCTTTTTATGCGCTTTGAAGAGTTCTCTGTTGCTTGTTTTTTGGCTGATTGTTAATGAACAATATTTTCTTACTATCTGATGACAGGAGATCTAATTTATTTTGTTTCAAAATTGTGAAGCTCTGGATTTACCCTCTAACTCAGTCATATCGTGTGGACATCATCTACGGCGGATTTCTATTAAATATATAAGACAGGTATGCTGTTTATCTTTCCATCTTAAATTTTATTTTATCTGTTATCAAAATTCAATTTTCATTGTCCTGAAGTAGGGTATTTTAAACTTTCAGGTTTACCCGACATAAAAATGGGAATATATCTCAGCACTCCAAAAACTGAGAAGTTTTCTGAAGATGGCGAGAATTCCAAGCTTAGGTTCGGGTTATCATCCATGCAAGGATGGCGTGCAACAATGGAAGATGCGGTGAGTTAGAATATTTATGCTTTCAAATTCAACCTTTGATGTCTTGCGTGATACTTACTGTTGTTAACATGTCACATGAGGTGTCAAGCGATACTCTGTTTAAATCTTATTTTGGACTCGTCCACTTTCTAATTGTTCACTTCTTCAAAGGCCTTTTTCAAATTAAAATGTGAGCTTGAATAGGATTTTCATCAAATGCCTTGTAGTTACACTATAATCTGCATATGCCAGACTACCACGTGTTGTAGTTACAGTGACAACTGTGCTTGAATAGGATTCTCATCAAATGTCAATTTTCATACATTAAATCAAAGACATGCACTAGGCGTTAATGGTTGAAGGGTTTGCATAATAAAATCAATGGCATGGCTTCTTTGAGAAGTCCTTTTCGTGTATTTTCTGTTTGAGTTACTTCAAAGTATGATATTATGAGCCATATACATTCATGATGTTATTTGTTTCTATGTTCTACTTTCTTATCAATCTCATTATGTGCTAATTTGTCTGCTTACATGTTCTTTTTCTTCAGCATACCGCACTGCCTGATCTTGATGATTCCACTTCATTTTTTGGCGTTTTTGATGGCCATGGAGGTGAGCTTACGTTCTCTGTCCTTTTTTTTAGTTTTTACTAATTTTTTACTGCACATTTTCCCTGAAGTCCTTTGTATTCTTTCTTTCTAAAGCTCATTTTATATTTGAACCATCTGCTCCTATCATTTGGCATTTATGAGCGTCATATAACCTACTGAATGCCTTTTACTTTTGTTCTTTTCACATTATTGGCATTCTTGGTATGATCATTGTTAGGTGTTACCAAATTCTTCACACATCTAAAATTTGTGGTTTGCCCACATCAGGTGTCTTTGTGGTTGATGTAATTTGCTTGATTTATAACGTTTACCTTTTTAATTCAAAAGTTTAGTGCTGTCTAGCAAATAAACACATCTTACATTATAAATTTTGATTGGCTTTGGATAAACTAAGTCTACTAACTGCATTCCTTAGATATGGAGAGCAAACCTATAAAGATCTGGTCAAGAGAGGAGAAATTGTTGTCATGCTTCCCTCTCTTCACTCAGGGATGGAGGTCCCATTGTAGGTAACTGCAGGCACATGCATTTGTGCGAGGAAATTGGTATTTGTACTTCATTGAGGAGCCCTTCACAGCAGAAAACAAGGGATATCATGGATAGTGGGAGGTCGCGGATGAGAATTGACCTATTTATAAAGTGATTCATGATCTATATAGAATATTTAGAGCCTGTCTTATTGAGTACAATATATGGCTTAAATGGTTGGTGCCTGGACCTGCTAGCATATTGCACACTGGAGTATGGTCATTTGAGGTCCTATAAACTAATCTTTTTTTTGCACTAGAATGTGGGAACCTAACTTAATTGTCACACGATAGTGGTTTACATTTTCACCATTGTTCAGAAGGCATATATCGAGGATGCTGCCTCAGGATTGCTACTATACACCAACGATGGAGTATTTGAATTAACCTTGTATGACCCTTGGTTGTATACAATCTTCCACTCATTTGGTAATGCATCATTTCAAGGATAACTTGCATGTAGTATATTTGTATTCCTGTATTCATACATATTAGCTCATTTGCGCAGATGTGCTTCTATATCTAACTATGTGGCTTCTGAGTATAACACGATATTTTACGAATTTGGTATTTTTCTCATGTTTAACTGTGAATCATTTCCTATTGCCTAATGCTTCAATATCCATTTGGTTCAAATTTCATGACTCAGTTTTCTAGCGTAGAAGCTAAGGAATAGTCTTGCTTGATTAAGAAAAGAGGTTATGAAATGTTTTGCTCGGTTTGCTTTGGCAAAAAGAGGCTTTGAAAAGCTGATGTTATAAAATGTTCTATTTAGCTGTCATTTTCATGTTGGCATGCTTGAACCTTAGCATTCAAAGTAAATGATGTGATCTGGTTATATTTTCAAATGTCCATACTGCGGTTTGCTAAATCGGGATAGCATGGGCCTTACCTTATATCTTTTGTGTTTTCAGGAAAAGTAGTTGCTAAATTCTGCGCAAAATATCTGCACACTCAGGTGCTCAAGAATGAAGCTTCTTCAGCTGGTGATTTAGGTGTTTCCATACAAAAATCTTTCTTCAGGTATTCCACTGTTACTTTTGGTTTTCATTTCCACTTTTTTATAACTTGGAACAATGTTATGCCTCATTCATTAACTACATCGAAGGAGCATTTTTGGTTGTTCAAAGCTAAAATGCATGTCATGCGTGCATTTATTTGTCTTTGTTTCAGAATGGACGAGATGATGCGTGGGCAGAGAGGATGGAGGGAGTTAGCTGTATTGGGAGATAAGATAAACAAGTTTACTGGTATGATAGAAGGCTTCATATGGTCTCCGAAGGCTGGTGATTCCCATGATCAACGAGATGAATGGGCATTTGAAGAGGTACACCTAGAAAACATTTTAACATCAATATGTTATATTTCTCTGTGAGGGTACTTTCGACACATAACAAGGGTATTTTTGTGAAAATTGCCATAGCAAATATGTTATAACTTATAATTAACTGGTATTAGTTACACATTCATGTAGTCGCTAACTAAGGAGATAGACTGAATTTGAGCAACCCCCCCTGAGGGCACACGTTTGTTCCTCAAATTTCATGTTTGCCAATTTTAGCATTAGAGGGTGTTAAAGGGAGCATATTACATTTTCTCTTAAATTAAGTCCCTCTAACCATTAGACCAGAAATCCAAAGTTGTGGTGAGAGTTGAGGTTTATATTTTTATATTATAACATGCCCCAGCAGGTTGAGCGCCCTTTTTTATGGGCCGAAAACCTAGACTCACGCAACAATATTAATAATTAGAAAAACCACTTTAAATTTGTGGCTAGTGGGATTTGAACCTGAGTTGTTCTGATACCCTCTTAAATTAAATCTCTCTAATTATTACACCAAAACTCCGAGGTCGTGGTGAGAGTTGAGGTTTATATTTTGATATTCTAAGAAAGTAGTCGACTTCAATCATTCTTACTAAAGGAAAATAACACGGTGCTTAAAATTTTATTTTCTTTCTTATTGAGGTAGCAACTGGCTATATGCATTCTTATATGGCCTTTTGATGACCATGTTTTTAATAATAATTTATTATACCCAGCCCATAATTTTGACAAAGCTGCTGTTCCAATCTTTGCCACCAGGGACCCCACTCTGATTTTTCTGGACCCACATCAGGAAGCACCGCTTGTGTGGCTGTCATTAGAAACAATCAACTTATTGTTGCAAATGCTGGTGATTCTCGCTGTGTAATTTCAAGGAAGGGCCAGGTATTTATTTTCGCCCCCCGGGAAGAGCTGTAGAGTGTTAATGTATACATGAAATTTATATGATAATTTTGATTTTCTTCTTGCAGGCTTATAATTTGTCGAGGGATCACAAGCCTGAGCTTGAGGCAGAGAGAGAGAGAATTCTGAAAGCTGGAGGCTTTATCCATGCAGGACGAGTAAATGGAAGCTTGAACCTGGCAAGAGCAATTGGTATTTCTATACCTTCCAACAGGAACTTAATTATTTGGATATATTGGTGGATTGGCATCTTAGCTTTTAGCTATTTGGGTTGCAGGAGACATGGAATTCAAGCAGAACAAATTTTTGCCAGCTGAAAAGCAAATTGTTACCGCCAATCCAGATATAAACACAGTACTTTTTTGCATGCTTCTGTGTGATATTAGTTTTATATAACTTATGGTAACTTGCAAATAACTCGCCTCATCTGTATGTTGAGTAGCACTTTCCACCCTGCAACGATTTTACTAGCACTTTCCACCCCTCAAGTCAAGGGAGAGGGGGGTATCTGCAATTTATTCTTCTCAAAATGCAAATTTAGGGGTGGCAAGTGCTAGTAAAATAGTTGAGTCTTTAATGCTGCTCAACATATAGATGAGGAGGCTACCTGCAATTTACCCTAAAACTTAAAAAGAGGTCTTATCTGATAACCGCCTTCTTTGCTGAGATGTCTGAAGAAATGGTCTCAGGCTCATATCCTTTGTCTTTTGTGTATTAGGTGGAACTTTGTGAGGATGATGACTTTATTGTTTTAGCTTGTGATGGCATCTGGTAAGGATTTCTATGTAGTTTCTTGGTTCTGGTGTCCTATATCTTAAAAGATTAATCTTGTGGTATCATACACTACTGCTTTCTAACTACTTAATATTTGATCAGAGGGTGGCAGAATTATGATTGTTTTTCATGATCATGCTTATATTCTAAAATCTATTTCGTATAATTCATAGCAGGACTAAAGTATTGAATAGAAAAAGGGTACAATACATATAAGTGATTAAAAATATATTTCATGTTAATACTTGTTGACTTAAGAATTTTATAAGTTGGGTTTATATGTATTGCTGAAGTAATCGTTAAGATAGTGGGAAAATTTTCTTTCGTGTTGGCAGCACTGAGGGTTCCATTGCATTCTGTATTTAGTATTAACTAGTATCGTACGTGCGTTGCACGTAGGCACGCTTGTTGATCAAAATTTTGGAGTTCTTTTGGTTCTATTAGGTTAGAAAGTTAATAGTTATTAAGATATTATAGTAATTAATAAAGAATTAATATTTATTCAATGAAATGAGACTTAATGCATATTATAGTAATTAATAAAGAATTAATATTTATTCAATGAAATGAGACTTAATGCATAAAGATTAAATGTGTATATTTGTATTAATAAAGAATTAATATTTATTCAATGAAATGAGACTTAATGCATAAAGATTAAATGTGTATATTTGTAGGAGGATATGAATAAGTTATTTTTATCGGAAACAATAACTCTCTGCATAGAAAATTAGCTTACACATGTTTCTATTATTAAATATAAACTACTTGTAAAGCAACAAGCTCAAGTACATTTACATGAGAGAGAGAGGGATGTCATTTTGAAATTATCTTTCTAGAAATTATTAAACCTCCTCTAGTTTATTATTAGCTCTTAGTGTCCCCCAATTTGTATTTGATACTTATAATTTTTATATCTCTAAAATTACATTTCAAGGGTTTTAAGTGCTAGTATATTGAGGAGGATTTAGTGCAACTCAAGATACAGAAGAGGGAATTATGTACAATTTTCCCTATTTGTTATAATAATGCAATTTACAAATGGTTAATGGAGAAATGGGTAACCCTTCATGAATGAGTTCCTTAATGAAATGGGGGTTAAGAAGACAGTGGAATAATAAAAAGTTGATAACTTTTTATATTACTGTAAATGTTATATTATATATTTATTTATTTGAATTGGTAAATAAATAACTTTTTACTCATATTATATTTGATAATTGCACATATTTAATAATTCATATAAATATTATATATTAATGTGATATTAATAAGTATTATAATTATCATACATTAACTATTATACTCAAATAGTAGATTAATAGCAGAAAATTAATAATACTCTTAAATTGTAGTAGTAATCCTTTCTATAAGCATCCTCAGGACCAACTAACTATATCATTTTCTAAATTGATCTTCTGCGCTTTCTATTTGTCCTTTATAACCCAATAATATCAATGTATTACCTTAGTGACCATAGAACAAAAATTAACCCTTTACACATATAGAGTGAAAGCAATTACACTTATAATGCGTTGTCATTGACAAAGCTTTCTTTATCCCTAGAATAAGCATAATGCATTAAGAGATTCAACCAGACTATACAAATAATTTAGCATATTTACAAACATACCTAGGAGCTGGAAACCAATTTACACGCTAAGGCAAAAACATATACGAAGATGGAAGGGGGAAAACCAATTAGTTTATGACCGAAACAACTGCAAATTTTGATAAAATACAGGACCACCTTCTTTGTCGCCTTCACCGATTTTTTCTCTGCTCTCTAAAGTGTTACACCGATGCTTCCATTACCATCTTCTCATTCAATTCGATCGTACGCCACCAGTGATGTTACCATTGACACACTCACACTTCTTGCGGTTTGTAAGTGTTGTAGTTGTGTCTCGTTACTTTTCAATCTGAATAAAAAAATTTGATTAAGAGTTAGAATTTTGGTTAGAGAAATTTGATAAGATTCTATAGTAATTTATAGTGATTTATGGAAGAGGAATAGTTGTAACGTTTTTTATTATTAGTGTGTAATGTCAAGACTTAGTGGGGGAATGTTATTAGTGAGTGGTTAAATGAAAATTTGATGGTAATAAAAATAGGGAGGTTATGAAAAATTAAGTATGTATATATCTTAATGTATGCGTGTATGGATGTGCTAGAGATGTATGCATGTATGTGTTTCGGAGTGGCATTTTTGGAAGAAATATTTTAACATCACACACTTTTATAATAGTATATATAGAGAGAGAGAGAGAGAAAGAGAAAAAATTATGTCAACTTAAGTGAACCATCCACCAAAGTTTCTATCCATTGATGAAAAGTCTCTTCATATGATGCACGGATCTCTAGGTATCATCAATGGATAGAAACTTTAGTGGACGGTCTACTTAAGTTGACATAAGTTTCTCTCTCTCTCTCTCTATATATATATATATATATAATAATAATAATAATAATAATAATAATAATATAAGATAATGACTTTTACCGCAATGTCCTAAATTAGTGTCCACATATCAGTGGCAGTAGCTTGCAGTAATGGTCACATCTGTTCAAAGGTTTTTTTTTTTGAAATTATTGCTGTGAGCTCTTGTTCTCTTATTTTATACATCGATTCTGGTTTTGGCTAACTGCTGATGACGTATTTCATGGTTTATTAGGGATTGCATGTCAAGCCAGCAACTTGTGGATTTTATCCATGAACATATAAACACTGTAAGTAATCAGTAGTTTTAGATGTTTACATCTTTTTTTTAACCAGGTTACATAAAGCAAAGACAACTATGAGATTAGTCATGCAGATAAATAGGCCGTTGAGCTACTAGTTTAACCATTCTGAGAGAACAATAAAAGTGATAAACATGCTGAATTTTCTTAGGATGATTATCTGGTTAAGCACTCTCATGTGGCTTAGGTTGGCATGTATCTCATAAATAAATGGCGTATATTATCTTCTATCCAAGAATAATTTGTTTTATTTATGACAAAAAAGTTCATGAACCATCAGGAAATTGTGGGATGGTCATGAATTGTCAGGAAATTGTGCCTGCTATTCAACTAGCTTTCTGAATCCTTCCTCGCGTTTCTAATTTACATTTCCTCGGGGCTTCTGCTCTCCTATTATTGTGTGCTCTTGTGGCACTTGCGTTGCAATAGCTCTTTGCTCTCACATTGTCATGCACCCTTTCACCGTTGGTATCACCTGGCTCCTAATTTAACACAGACAGTGGCTTTAAGAAAACTGAAAGAAGGAAAAAATTGAGATATTTAGCTATTCAGGTCTTTTTTTTAATTATTATTGCTGCTACATCTGTTTTGCCTTCAGATGTTGCAGTTCTTATGTTATCCTGTAATCAATTTTTCATTCTGTTTAATGTTACTGCTATTTTGTCTGTTTTGTTTGCTTTTGAACCTACTGTTCTCCCCAAATTTTAGCTCTCCCAACTTATTTGATCACCATGGTTTTCACCAATAACTTCTGTGCATAGGTGTTGCACAACAGTGGTTTTTGTCTAGCTGTGGATTAGTACACAGACCTTTAAGTCCACTAATCTAAGAGTAGATATGTCTTTGACGCATCATTAATAATAGACTGATGTTATATACTTTCTCCGCAAATTGAGTGTGCTAATCCAAGAGTGCACATCTCTTTGATGAATCATCAATCAATAATGTAATAGACCGGTGTCATTGACTCATTGCCTAATCTCTCGACGAATAGTGTGTGTGCTAATCCAGGAGTAGACGTCTGTTTTGTGCGTCATTAGTAAATGTAATAGACCAGACACCACTTTGATGTATCATTTTTCATTAATAATGTTATAGACTGGTGTCATTGTATACTTTCTCCACAAATAGTGTGTGCGCAAATGAAGGGACACATGGACACTTGAACCATACATGCACGCGCTGCACATAGTCATATCAAATCATAGCTATACTTAGTATGTAGGGATAGTTGCACATAGAGCCACTGTATTGTCACTGTTTTGCACTTACTACCCCCGTAGTTCTGTTGTAGCAGGTAGGCCCCGTGGTTTTTTTCCCACTTTTACCCTCAGATAGAGTCACTAATTTCACGCGGAGGCAATATCTGCCAAAATTTCACCAAGGGGTAAAAGAGTAAAAAAAGTTAATTAAAGGGGTCTATTTGCAACAATGAAATTTCAGGGGTAGTAACTGCAAAACAGAGATACTACGAGCGGTCTGTGTGCAATTAACCCTAGTATTTACACGCATACTAGTATTATAATTTCGTTCTCACAAGCTGAATGTAAATTCAGGAGACGAAGCTCTCTGCAGTGTGTGAACGAGTGCTCGACAGGTGTTTGGCACCCTCGACAGCCGGTGGAGAGGGATGCGATAACATGACCATGATCCTCATTCAGTTCAAGAAGCCCTTTAACTCTAACCCCGACAATCCAGAGTCCTCTACTTCCGACAGCGCTAATTCAAACAATGCCGAGCCATCATCAACTGAGACGTCCGCAGATAATGAAACCAAGTAAATCTGAGATTTCCGCAGATAAGGAAGCCAAGTATCCTTCACTCGTCGACTATAGGTTCTACATCTGACGGAAACACCCATTGTGCAGAATTCATTGGTATTGATATGGGCGATGGGTGTGTAAATATCTGTATGTTATAAATCTTCATATCATTGTGCAGAGGCTGAGACTAGTTCCTCTATCTTGATTACTTGAAAAATTATGTAACTCGTATAGGCCAAACTTGTTATGGGTTTTGTTGCTTTGATTCAAAATGTGTAAGCGGATAGGCGTACTTCCACTGTTTTTGTTATGGTGATCGTATAAGAAAATTTTCTTGGACGATTGATTAGGAAAACGCTACATGTTTCAAGTATGAAGGCTTGATTATGAGAAAAATTATAGTTCTAGTATTTTGTTTCCCTTGAAATAAGGTGGGAGAAGATAAATTTAATATTGAGTTGACCTATATCACCCCAAATCCCCGCCAAAAAACAGAAAAGCTATTTGACGCGCGCGTGATGCATCGTGCAAGAGAGGCTAACAGTGGGTCCCACTGACCCCCTCCTCTCTTGCGTGATGCATCACGCCCGCGTCAAATAGCAGGGTTGTCAAAAAAAAAGTCACCTCTTTAACTTTTATCTAGAAAGAATATTGGAAAAGAAAGAAAATTAATTATCAAAACTTAGAATGTGTTTGGGAAAGTGAATAAAATTGGGCCAAGAGTAGTCTTGGCTGCTCTTGGCCCAGTTTTGTACTAAATCAGTTTTTTTTTTAACCAGACTTTCGTGATCCAAAAGAAAACTGGTTTAGTGACATTATTTAGGCTAAAAATTTTGAGTCAGCTCTGACCTGAAAATTTGACAAATAAGAAACACATTAAAATTAGTCCAGCTTCAATTCTGACCTAATTTTAACTTGTTGCCAAACATTAACTGTCACTAGTTTGTCTTATGCTGTGTTTGGGAGTTTACTAAGACCATCTCCAACCCCGCGTCATTTTGAGGCAAAACGCCATTTTGCCGCTCCGAGACGTCTCCAACCCAGCGTCATTTGCAGCGCTATTTTAGCGGTGATGAACAGCGCGACGCTATATTTGGCGTCGCACTGTTCATCACCGCATTACTGTTCATTTATTATTTTTTTAAAAATTTTTTTTAACCTCATACTTTTATGTATTTACATTTTGACCCTAATTGTTTTATTAAATGTATAAAACAATCCCAATAATATTTAAATTTTATAATTTTATCCCAATTGTATAATTTGGACAAAATAAATTATTTTTTAAAATTAAAAATAATGCTAAAATTTTGGCGACATTATTATTAATTATAATATTAAAATCTAGATATTAAGTAAAGTCCCATGAAATATAAAGAGCAATCCTAATATATAATTCAAATATAAATTACATATCTGAAATACATAACATATAAAAACTGACATGCATAATATAAAACTTCATTAAAATAAAACATAAAATACAAACTAAACATGGAACATTTCCTGAGATGGACAAACAACTCTCAATAATCTGGTAGATCGGCGTCAGAGTGTCCAATATCATTGAAATAATTGCCAAAATTAGAAGCATACCCTTGTTCTTGTTGATTTCTTTTTTGTATTATTTTAATCTGTTGAGCTCGAACGTACTCACGCACGTTTGGATCAATAATGGAATTCAAATCTTTCATTATAATTTTCCATTCATCTCTATCTTTTTTCATAGCTATCTTTTCTCGTTCGATATCAAATGCTACCTGCCTGTCCAAGCTCGCCTTGTCTAACCTGTCTATAAGTCGATTGTTGGAGGTCTCGATGGAGTCCACTACACTTGACTCATGATCATCATTTTTCCTTTTCAATTTAGCTTTTTTTACCCCAATAGGTCGTTCAGATGGAGTAAATGATGATAGTCCAGGAGATGTTGATATAGGAGATTCCGGAGTGGGATTATCTGATTGTGACGAGTCGAAGTTCACACTTTGGGATTGTCTTCGACCAACTTGTCTTGCTGTGGGGACATCATCTTTGAATTTTTTTGAAATTTTTAACCATATTCCAGACATGATCAAAGTTGAAACCTTTTTTGTACTTTGGTTCTTGCATAAATAACATCTTTGCTCGAACTAACTGCAAATTATAGTGAACATCAAGTTATGTATTTCAACAATAATAATAAAATTCAGACGATAATTAATAGAATACTTACAATATCTTCATCTGAAGCACCACTTGGATTCAGATTCTCTACTTGTCTCAAGCACGCATTCAATTTCCTTACTTCATTACTTATGATTTCCATTCGAGAACGTCGGCTCACACGCATCTCAAAATGCTGATCTCGAAGTTCATTGTATTTGTCCTCCACACGAGACCAAAATGCATCTCGAGACTGGTTTCTACCGATAATAGGGTCTTGAGAAATATCCAAGAATACTTGACAAAGGAGCACATCTTCAGTAACCGTGTATCCAGTTGATCGAACAGACATTTTTTTGTAAAAAGCGGTTGGTTTGGAGATCAGAAATACTTTGAAGAAATACTTCGAATTGGGTGGTTTGAAGTAGAATTCGTGAATGTTATTTATAGCCAATCGAAATTTGTTTTTTTTTGTTTGAATTTGAATTTGAATTTGAATTTGTCGGTGGTCAACATTTGAAATTGAATCATTTTGTACAAACTGATCAGGTTTACACATTATCCAATGTTGTCGGTGGGAATCAATTTTTGAAATCAGGTCAGGTTTACACATTGTCCAACGTATACACAGCTCAGCTCTCCTTGAATTGTGTGAAAGCTTTGTACGAGTGGGAATCAATTTTTGAAATCAGGTCAGCTTTACACATTGTCCAACGTATACACAGCTCAACTCTCCTTGAATTGTGTGAAAGCATTGTACGAGTGGGAATCAATTTTTGAAATCAGGTCAGCTTTACACATTGTCCAACGTATACACAACTCAGCTCTCCTTGAATTGTGTGAAAGCTTTGTACGAGTGGGAATCAATTTTTGAAATCAAGTCAGATTTACACATTGTCCAACGTATACACAGCTCAGCTCTCCTTGAATTGTGTGAAAGCTTTGTACGAGTGGGAATCAATTTTTGAAATCAGGTCAGCTTTACACATTGTCCAACATATACAGCTAAAAGCAAATTTGAATTTTATGACAAATTGATAACAGCTAGAGCTAAAAGCAAATTTGAATTTTATGACAAATTGATAACAGCTAGAAAGCATTTCCTAAAATCAGCTCAATTTTACACATTATTCAATGTGTACAGCTAAGCAAAGTTTTATAAATAGCATACTAGATTAGGTACATCCACACAATTACTCGTTGTTGTGTTAAAATTATTATTCTCCATTTCTGCATACTTCAGTCATTCTTTTCTTACTTCAAAAATGAATTTCGATGTTGGAGGTCCATCATACTTATCATCATCTTCATCTTCGGATGATGATAATTTTCTGTCCAATATCATTGCAGAGATTGATGAAACCGAAGAAGTAATTTGTGAGTACATCAACAACAACATGATCCTCGTTAACAATTTACGTCAACACAACTACCAACCGATCCATGGTGGCTCGATTCCCGGTCATGCAGTGATCAACCGCGATCGAGAAAATGCGCATCAGAATTTGGTCATAGATTACTTTGCCGATAATCCACGTTTTGGAGAAGATATGTTTCGTCGTCGATATCGGATGTCAAGAAGTTTGTTCCTTCGTATTGTTGATGCAGTGAAAGATCATGACTATTACTTCCAACAACGAAGTGATGGACTTGGTAGAATGGGATTATCATCGTCACAGAAAGTAAGCAGCTATTTTTCGCATGTTGGCATACGGTCTACCAGCTGATGCTACGGACGAATACGTTAAAATAGGTGAGTCAACAGCAATTGAAAATATGACAAAATTTTGTCGTGCTATGATGAAAATATTCGCAGAGCGGTATCTACGAACACCTAACGCTAACGATATTGCTAGGCTACTCTATATTGGAAAAAAACGTGGTTTTCCAGAAATGTTAGGAAGTCTTGATTGTATGCATTGGAAATGAAAAAATTATCCAACAGCATGGTCTGGACAATACACAGGACGTAGTGGGTCACCAACTATTATCCTCGAAGCTGTGGCAGATTGTGATCTTTGGATATGGCACGCATATTTTGGTATGCCAGGCACCAATAATGATATCAATGTGCTGGAGTCATCTAATCTTTTCTCTAACCTAGCTCAAGGTATTGCTCCTCCCGCTCACTATGTTATTCAAGGAAAAGAGTATAATATGGGTTATTATTTAGCTGATGGTATATATCCGAAATGGGCTACTATTGTACAAACAGTCCAACAGCCACAAGGTAGGAAGAAAAAATATTTTGCCATAAAACAGGAAGCATGTAGAAAAGATGTAGAACGTGCGTTCGGAGTTCTCCAATCACGATTTGCAATTGTGGCAGGATCAGCACGTTTTTGGAAAAAAACATGTATTACATGACATAATGACTGCATGCATTATTATGCACAATATGATAATCGAGGATGAACGTGATCTTTATGCACCAATTCAAGAAGTGAGGGAAGCACCAACACCAGAAGTTGATATGGTAGCAGATGAAACTACAAGATTTACTCAATTTATTGCACGTTACAGAAAAATCAAGGATAAAGATGCCCATATTGCGCTTCGTAATGCATTGATAGATCATCTATGGGAGGAATACACTAATTCAGATAGTTAAGTGCATACTAAATTTGTAATTTTTATATTGTTGTTAATGTTTAATTATTTTCTTGTATTTTATTTTCTGTTGTGTTCTTGAATGTAATATTTTGGCAATATCAATAATAAAAATATAATATTTTAGCAATCAAGTTATTTTAATTAATAAAATAATATTTTATTGTTTTATTAGTTTAAATTTTTTAATAATAAATCATTTTGTTTGGAAAATATGTGAAAAAATAAAATTTGATATGTGGGGTTAATTGTTGAAATAGTTAAAAATATAGGGAATAAAAAATAATCATATAAAAGTAGATAAAAAGAAAGATACTGAGAATATTCCTTTTTGGTGTAAAAAATGGTACAATGGGTTGGAGATGATTTACTGTTAGATGTGACTTTTGCACCATTTTGGTGCAAAATTTGCACCATTTTGGTGCGATGGGTTGGAGATGCCCTAAGGGAAGGGAATGAAAGGTAAACAACGGGAAGGGAAGGGAAAGGAAGGGAAGAGAATTGTAATATGTTGTTTGGGAGTTGAGTAATGTGAATGAAGGTGAAAGGAAGTAAATATATGTAAATTTACATAAATGACTTTATACTAATAACACATCAGTC